TGTTCTGTTACCCTAGTACATAGTGGCTATGTATATGCCTGGTCGTATCTACACCTCTGCGTATATTGCCCTATCGCTACACTTTAAGGCATTTGTATCACAGTCCACGGAATCGAGATGATAGTACAGATAGGGAATGATTAGATCTGCCTTGTTAATTCTGCTAAGAAGCACCGTTGTAGTCATATTTCAGGTACACTTCTTGTTGTTAAAGGCTGTCGTTTCTGTCATCGCACACGAATATGGAAGTTTGGATACCACTTCCGAGCTCTCACTAAGCTCTTATTGAGCAACAGTCTTCAATTGTGCTCTCTCTCACATTCGCATTTTGAGGAAGCCAATTGGAAGCATGTTTCAGCATTGTAACTTCAGTACTCATACATATATTCTCAATGTGATTGACCAGTGCCGCTGCTAAAACTGGGACCACAGGTGCCCGAGCATCGGCGGTGAGTATCCACTCGTCGCACATTGCACCGGACGCACAAGGGCTGCTATCGCCTGGTCCGAGCCGTCCCAGTAAAGGTGCCGTAAAGTCCAATGGTAGTAAGCCCAAAGGCACGATAAGTAAGGGCGCTGATTCAGAGAAAACGATTACTAAGCCTGCGAGAAGTAAGAGTGTGGGTGAAGTGCTTCTCACGCCACAAGCACAGGATAAAGGGCACTCGCGACCCAAATCTCCCAATGCACGCGCCAATGAGAAGTTACACACTAATCAGAATATCACCCATAAACACGCCCACACACACGCCCCACCCCCGCGCAGGTCTATCAATCGCTCGATCAGTAATGATACGGGCGGAGACACACCGTCAATTAGCAGCAGTGCTATGCATGCCAATAGTGGCCCGAGCTTTAGCGTGGGTAATGGAATGGGTATGGGTTTGGCTCGGGGCTCGACGGCGTCGGTGATTTCTGCTGCGGCCGATGATATGGCCATGTGTTTTGTGACGGAAGCACGTAGAGGGTATGTTAGTATATGGGTGGTAGATAGGTTATTGATGGATAGGTATGGGTGGTATACGGCTATTTGTTGGAAAAGAAGCGCAAGATTTGAATATTTTGTGCTACGCATTCGAGCTTCACATCGAGTATATTTCATGTCTTAGTGCTGTTCTAGTGTGGTAGTCTTTTACGGGTGAGCTGTGTTCTGGAACAATAATCTAATGTGGCCGATGAAGACGACGGATATGATCTGTATACGGCATTAAGTATTGATTCGATTTCGACTTGCTGAGTATACTGGCTTCCTGAGAGTTGATGAGTAAGTCAACTTTTCATTTTGAGTAAATTTGTGAGTTTATTGGGGAGCGGGGCTGAATGTATGAGATGAACGTTTAAAGCTGAAATAGATCTTGTATGCAATACTTTCAAGCTTGTGTGTTTCGATGTGTACAAGTGCTGGTCTCACATTGCAGCTCAACAGTGTAGCCGTACACTCTTGAGCGCACTGGATTGACTTGTCTCAAATCCATTTGTAGTTACGACCATGGGTAGTTGTATTACGTCTTTGGGTTGACTTTATACAACCTAAACATTCATCAATCACATTAAAATTACATTCTACTGAACTTCCAGAAGGTTTCTTGTGGTTGGACATCTACCTGCATGTTCCATTAAGATTCAGGAACAATTACTTCATCGGTACAAATTAGTCGTTTGTGATGTCAGTGTTCTTGCTTCCTTAGCTGAGGTTGTTGATTGAATATATTCAAAACATGCTGCATATCAAATTGGAATGAATTGTCCGTCAGCGTTTTGTGTTGCATGCAGCATTAAACGTATTCGGTGGTATTCCCGTGCAGATCCGCGAACATAGCGCTGCAGAACACTGAGGGAATGGAGGCCATTGGCGTTGGAGTGCATGCCATGAACCACTGCACAGTGTGCGGGTCGCCCATCTCCATCTGTATAATCGACAAGGAACGGGGTAAATGCACCTTAGTTAAATCGCAGTCAAATCCAGACCCGTCGTCAGACGATATAAAAATTGAGCCAAAAGGTATAGCTATCACTGGCGGAAGAGTCGAAGATGCGTGTAAGTGTGCCGTGCCTGTGCCTGGACCAGCCCCCGTGGATTCGCACCAGATCTTGGACGATAAAGCTCACGAGAACATTCTCATACAAACAGATGGAGGGACAGACACGCCTGCGCAGGCGTACAACAGCGGATCGACTGAGCAGGTGGCACTGAAAAGCAGCACCGACCAGGATAAATCACGCACAAACGTGTACACAAATTTTGATGCTTCTGTTTCCAATAGCATGTCACGAACGATGGAAGTGGAGATGGCGAAGGAGCACGTGCTAGCCGGTGCGGACGAGGACAGTGTTACAGGAGCCCAATACATTAATGCGCGCTATGACAGTATAAAAGTAAACTCACCCACACCCACGGCTTCACAAGCCTCTGTAGATCCACAGTCAATGGAAAATACAGGGTTGCTGACCTCGCAGAAGGCGGCGGTGAAAGTGGGTGAAAGGTTGGACGAAGAAGCCGTGCTGAAGTCTGACAACGAACAAAGTCTCAAGAAGAGTGACGGCGCGTTACCACATATGCCAGCTGAATCAGATTCTCGACACTCCAGAAGGAGCATGATCTCGATCTATAAACGTAAGTACTACCAACTGTGACAGTTTGATACATGCCTATGCTTGGGTTGCCTGCTGCACAGCACACATAGATCTCTCTTCACACGCGCGTATTTGTTATGTTATGTGTGCGCACATGTACATCCATGTAAAGAATGCACATTCTTGCTCGGAGATTATATGCAAACAAGCCAATGTGTAAGCACAAGTACGTACACAGACATATATCCCAACGATAAGAAGGCATATATAGGCCACCATATGTTTAAACTTATCAAGTGGGCAGTGACAATAATATTGCTCGGCAACAATGCACTCTATGGTGGTTTACTGGGCGGGCAAGAGTAGTGCACATTTTTTTAAATGAAATAGACTTTGTCGAGGTCAGTCGGGTGCCGCGTGCTATCGATTCGCGCAAGCTCACAGTGAAATGGGGCGCAACATGCACATGAGATTCGCGAAAACGCACATATTATACTGTCGCTCTCAGTGCACAATCAAAATGTAAGGTATACACGCATCCGATTTGGTTTCACGGTCATAATTCGTCACCTACTTCGGTGGACAGTGAAGGATGGTTTGCTGTTGATATTTTTACATCCCTTCCGTGTACATATCATCTCTTGGAATACGATTGATGTATACAAATCGACTATCTCCAGTGTTCGCGCTCTGCTCTACTCCTGTCAGCGATGTTTGCTTTGCTGCATAGTTTCTTCGCTACCTCTTCAGTCCGCGCTCCGTCATTTAATAAAATTAGGGGTTATTATCGCCGAAGTACAGCATCCGCGAAGAAACGAGTGCTCAAAAAGTTCTTCGATTACAAACGAGTCACGGCCAATGTCTTCCAACCGCCACGGCTGATCCATTCGTACGACAATAGTCAACACGATTTAGAGGTCAAGGCTGGGTGGACTGAATTGTTCTACGATCTGGTGTATATCGGCGCCTTTATCAGGTAGGCGAGGTTGTATCTGGATGTATTCATCAATTTATCTTATTTCAAATGTGCATAAATTGTGCCTTCTTAAGTGTCAGTGCATGTACGGGCTGTTGGTTTCGTTTGGTGTATCGTAGATTTAGATGTGGTACAGCAATTGTATTTTCGGCAATTGATGTAGGGTGCGTGTATAATGGAGTGTATTAATCCTCTCCACTGACGCTATGCGACTTGATTCGATGCAATGTACTCTTTCGCACCGTGTAGTATACGCAAACCATCGAGCAAGTTTTCAGTCAATATAATTGAGCTATATTTTTTTCGTGTCGCCTTTGTATGTCCGTTTCTTTTCAAGCATGCAAATACTACCGTTCCTTTGTGTGTGTTTCTAGCGATCAGCCTTAGAGATAAGTGTGTATATCTCTAGATACAAATGACTTTGTATGCACATGTCATCTGCTTAGGTTTGTGCCATATTTTGCCTTTTCCGCTCGCAGATTGGCAGGCCAGCTTGACAATGGAACTGGCTACACCGGCGTGATGGTGTCGTTCCTTTACATGTGGGCCTTCTTCACAACGTGGATGTCTGCCAACTTCTACTTCGCTGCCTTTGTCTTTGATGATTATGCTCACCAGTACATAATGTTTGTACATATGTTGGGCGTAGTCTTCATGGTCTTATTTCTCGAACCAGGTTGGTATACGCGTTAATTGATCCACGAGTTGACCTTGTGCAAAGAAATAATGCTCGAGTTCGTTTGCATGGACGTTTTTAATGGATTGCCTGTACGTGTTTGTACCAGTAGATGCTCAATCGAAAACGCTCTCTGTGGACTGGTGGCAATTTCAAAAGCAAATCTGTACAGTTATATACAAAATATGTTGGGCATATATTGTCACCCTTGCGTACATAAATATATCCTTATTATGTACTTTGTACAGAAATGATTGCATTATATATATATATATATATATATATACTAATATATAAT